AGTGTGAAAGTGCCAGGCCCATGGATTTCGAGCACAGGACAGTTAGGGTACATTTTGCCACTACGAAAGCTGCACTCACACAGGTGGCATCCAGTGTAACATTCAGTTCCACTTGGATGCATTGTGCGAACCACCTGGTGTCGTTCTCCTTGCAGAACAACTTTGAATTGCTGGCTATCATGATGTGAGGTCAGTGTCAGGCTAGGCTCCATCAGGGAGAATCTGAACGAATAATGGTCAGGCCAGGCACTCCTTCTCTCCACAGCCTGCATACAGCCCTCTGAAAAGGAATGGTAATAGAATCAGAGAGACAACATCGCTCAAGACAGAACACGGTTGAAAAGTGAGGATGGCATTGCCATTCAGAGACACCCAGGGATTCAGTAGCCAAAGCCCCCCAGGTGACACATGGGTTTCTGATGTCTCAGTCTTTCTTTACCCTCCCTGCCTGCCTTAAAATCCCTAGCATGGTTGAGAAGGTCATGGAGCCCTCGCTCATACCATTGTGCGTGAGGTAGTACAATCTCTAGGCAGCCTGCGGAGAGAGGAGCCGCAGGACATCCATGGTTGTCTCCTGCCAACCTTTTTGGTTTCACTGATGCTGCCATGCCTCAAACGAACCCCAGCTTGAGGCCAACCACCTCAAATGGAATGGTTCATGAGTTCATCAGCCTGCTGTCCCTTCAGATTATAACTGGTGGGGAAATGAGCAGGGCCTGGCCATGCAGTCCACGCACCTTGCCACAGATAGCAAATAGCACAGCAAAATCCAGGAGAGAGTCTTGCAGTGAGCCTGAATTCCCCCTCTTTTGACTCGCATAGAACACGGAGAGCCTGTTAAGAGCACTGTGAGCCCTCACTCCTACTTTGCGGCATTCGCCTGACATTCACTCCATCTTTAGGCCCAGGCTGAACCTGCCCTGCCTAGTTTCACGTAAGTGGACTGCTCCAGGTGTGGTTAGCAATGCCGTCGAAATGTCCTCACTCTGCCAGCTATGCAGTAAGCAGTCTTCTGAGGACTTTTAGGCTAAGTGTGCTCTTGCCCTGGTCGTAGGCACCACCTTGTGTATGTTTTAAGGATCTTTAGCATGGAAAAATGCAGGCCTCAAGGACAAGTCACACAGAGGTCTGTGGAGTAGTGATCAGCACGCAGCAATTCTATAACCTCCATGCAGCTGCTGCTCACGGCTACCATGAGGACCACTGGCATACACAATCAACTCACCCTGGTCCCTACCTGGCCCTGGTGAACACAGGGCCAGGGCCTCGGAAGTAAATAAGAAGGTCCTTGGCCTAGACATCAAATGGTAGAATGTTGGAGTGGCCAATCAAGCCGCAGTGAGCCTGCATTGCATCTTAGCTGCCTCGCACAGAATGACTAGAACCGCTTAACAGCTGCAAGAGTCGACTCATACCTTTCCGCATGTCATAAACTTTGGGCACTACTTAGCTGGCCAGTGAGACAGCCCTCACGGCTGTCTGCTCCGTGGATAGGGTGAGGGTCTATTGCCCACAGCAGGGAGACTGTCCCCAAGCCAGATGAAAAGCATCCTTCTTGAGAAGGCCAGTCAGACACAGCCCAGGTTCACCCAGGTATGACTTTCATACATAAAAATTCCCAACTAGTTCTGCATTCAGGGCACACCCACTCCCAGAAACAGTACTGCAGAGTTCTGGAGAGTCATGAAATAATACGAAATGAGCTGGATCTTGCCACAGCCATGAGCCAGGGCCACGAAGGTAATTGGACAGCCTTGCATTGAACCTCCCCTTCTCCCCGAATCAATGATTTGAAGCATTGTGTTCTACCTAGAATGGCCGACATGTCCCACTCCTAATGAGCTGCAGGCCTGAGCAACTTGAGGAGCTCCTTGTCACAGTGTGAGACTGCCAGGCCCCTGGATTTCGAGCACAGGACTGTTGAGGTTCATTTTGCCACTATGAAACCTGCACTCACGCCACTGGCATCCAGTGTAACATTCAGTTCCTCTTGCTCGCATTGTGAGAATCACCTGGCGTCGTTCTCCTTGCAGAGCCAAGTTGAGCTGCCAGGTAGCATGGTGTGAGGTCACGGTCAGGCTAGGCTCCTTCGGGGAGAATCTGTATGAACAATGGGCAGGCCGGGCACTCCTGCTCTCCACAGCGTGCATACATCCCTCTGAAAAGAAATTGTTACAGAATCAGAGAGAAAACATCGCTCGGGACAGAACCCGGGTGAAAAGTGAGCAGGGCATTGCCATTCCTTCAGATCCCCAGG